GAGAACCTGAACTAGCAGTGCCATTCATGTCTAGACACTTGCCTACTGTATATAAATAGCCAGTTGGCCAGTGAAGGAAGAGCTACTTTTTTTTTTTTAATACTCACATACCTTCCAGTAGCTGATGTTCTCTGGGCAATTTATAATAGCAGAATATAAAGGCTGGTTATATGTATCTTAATGTAATTAGCTTGGCTTGGGCTCACACCAAGCCAGACAAGCTATTGCAGCTTGTTTCTACATGCACCATGACTGAGTGTAATATTCAACCCAGTTATTATTTATAAACCAGAGCTGATGGCTCAGCAAGTTCTGTGAATTCAGCCACTTGTAATAGACCATGATTAGTGTGGGTTCAGTCACACAAGGAAGGAATTGTGATGCTGCAGCTTGATAAATGCAGGGAAAGGCAATACTCCCTACAGTGTTGATATGACTTTGGAATGCTGAGTTACTGAGTGTAAACTACATATTGGAAGTAGTTTTTTTAATAAAGGGAAATCAGTATTAAAAACCAATTAACTACTTTTCCCCTTTCTGTGACTGAAGCTGCATAAGGGTATTGCAAGCTGGGAGAGAAATTCACTGTAAATCAAATTTGATGTTAAGTGAATCGTTTCAACAAATCATGGCACTATGGAATAGCAATGCTCATTTTTCTCACTTTTCCTCTGCCATTTAATGTATGTAGGTTATAAAATAATTGTTTTCAAACAAAAATGAACTATATTCATCAGATCCATTTTGATCTTTTCAAATTTGTTTTTAAGATTACAGATATTTAAGAGTGCAGTATTCAGTAACACAATTATCTGTGGAATAATGGAGCCTCTCCGCTGATTTTTGTTTGTCCATTTTCTCTTTTTCTTTATTAAAGTTTTATATCAGCCTTTAGACAACATGTGAACCATGAAATACAGCAAGGTAAATCACCATGGAAAACAATTGGACCACCAAAAGTTCAGGTGCCCTCTCCAAAAAACTTCCTTCAGAAACATTCAAAAGAACCAAAGTTACCAACAAGTATGTTTTCAGCTTAACAATATTTGAAGGCATTTTAAAATTTTAATTTTGTATTTTATTTAATATGTAGGACTGGTATGTTCCCTTTCTTATGAATGTTGAAGGGAAAATCTGTAAGCCAATGAAATAATGACTACAATAACAAACTTAAGTGTTCCAGACAACTGCTATGTTTGCATTCCAGTGTGTTCTGAAGCATGGTTTGGACATCAAAACCAAAGTGGTCCACAACTCTATTAATCCTCCTCACAAAGGGGGAAGGGTGGAAGGAAACAATCTCCTCCAGATCCTTTTCAGCAGAAATTTGAAAAGCATGGTTTTACAATATAAGTTGGAAGAGAAAATTCAGTTCCAGAGGTATCGCTAACAGTAAGCTGTCTTTTTCGGTAAATGGAAATATTTAGAACGTTGGGACCACCTTACGGGTACTTATTCAAATACTAAAGCTTGCCATGTTTTTTGTTTTTTTTTAATGGCTGCCATAATGGGTGTAACCAGTTACAAAACACCCAGAAATGAGATTGCTTCCTCTCTAGCTTCTCTTGATGCTTAACTCTAGCTTTGTCTTTCTGAGCAAATGGGCACCTTTCAAAAGAAAACACTAGTTGCAGTTGCCCACCATTTCCATTTTTAAGCATGCCAATGAGGGCCAGAGTCATTTTCAGAAATACAAGTTGATGCTAGGACCAGGAATTAAATTCCAGCGTGCCAGATTCCCATTTCTTATTTTGACAGAGTCTTAAACATTCTGCTGAATGCAAATGTGGTAACTGACAAATGGGATAAGGCATTAGAATAGATGGCAATCTTTAAGGTATTTGTTGGATTATTTTTTATTCCACCATTATCCAAGTTATTCTCCCCCTTCCCATTTTCTTCTTCCCTGTTATTCAAAAGCTGTCCAAGTATCAGTCCTTTGAACACATAGCTGGGAACTCAGGCCTGAGCATCTTAATCTAGCATTCTAACTTCTCTTATATTGGCTAATATTAGAATTCCTTGCCCATTTTATTCAGATTTTAAAAAGGCATGTTCTTCTATATATCTTGATGCCTGTAATACAATATATTAAAGTGGAACAATAGGCTGGCATGTTTAGGTTTTCCTTTCTCCTCATAACTAGATAGCAGGAGGATTTTTCATTGTACTTCCTCTGTATAACAGTGAGTAAGGGTAAATAGAACAATTTGCAGGTAATGGAGATCTCAGTTTGTTTGTTTAAACTGGAAGTGTTTGCTTACCAAAAAATTAAACAACATTAGTATTGATTTCTAAATCATCAGGAACTTCTTTATTCCTGACTCCAAATGTTTCTATCTCTAGCTGTTTCTCTAAAATCATGAGATGTTTTTCAAAACAAATATGTTAGATTTCAGAACTATTTGATATATCTTGAGTAGTGTCTTACCTATACCTTATCTAGATATTTACAATTGACTGATTATGTACTATCAAGTCATTGTCAACTCTTAGTGACCACATAGATTTTCTCCATGATGATCTGTCCTTAACTGGTCTTTCAAGTCTTCCAACAGTACGCTTGTAGCCACTGTAACTGAGTCCACCCACCTTGCTGCTGTTTGTCCTCTTCTCTTTCCTTCACCTTTCCCAGCATTAGAGCCTTCTCTAGGTCTTTGTATAATGTGTCCAAAGTAGAATAATTTGAGCCTGGTCATTTGTGCCTTGAGTGAGAATTCTGCGTTGATTTGTTTGATGATCCATTTGTTTGTTTTCCATGGTATTCTCAGAAGTCTTCTCCAACACCAAAGGTCAAGAGTGTCAATATTCTTCCTATCCTGCTTCTTCATAGTCCAACTTTTGCTTACTTAGAGTGTCACAGGGAATACCATGGCTTGCACGATTCTGACCTCTGTAGGTATAGATACATCACAGCATTTGAACATCTTTTCCAAGGCCTTCATAGCTGCTCTACCAAATGCTTGACTGCTTGTTCCTTTACAGTTGATGATTGGTCTTAAAAGGCAGAAGCTATTCAGCACTTAGCATTATTAAATTCATTTATTGGGAGACCATGCAAGCTCACTCTTGTCAATTACTTAAGAGGGATGTCACTACTCCTCTTGTGCATCACTGGTTATATTTGCTGCTCCCAGTAATAATTGCTCTTATGATGTGTGACATAATAAGAAACATGTTATATAAGGCTGGAAAAATAAGGAGTAGCTGGGAAAAATAGGTTTGGAGGTTAAGAGAAGGAAACACTGGTCGATACTAAGTAAGTTTGTGTGCTACTTATTGATAAATTCAAAGTTGTAAGGTTCATTTCAACTAGTCTTTTCTTTTTGAAACTTTTAAAATATTGGAAAATGTCTAAGATTAATTTTGTGGATTGTTATTTTTCTGGAAAAGGAAAAAAAGATCAAGGCAGTAAAAAACCGCTAGAACTAAGTGTGCCTAAAAGAACAGATCATCCAATAATGGGAGTTCAGTGTACAAGGAATTTCATAAATACAAATGCAAGTAATGCTATCATGGCAGTGCCCAAAAAACCACTACCAGTTTATGTAGACAGACGGCAAGGAGACAGATTTCTTCTGGAAACTTCAGGACTTGTTCCAAAATATCTCAAGAAAAAGGTAGGTTTGTACAGAGTTGCAAAAACAATGGTGCTGAGGAATATGCTAGTTTATTGGTATACCCTGAAATGAATTTAGACTGACTTGTGAAATTCTGTCCATGTTTGTTCTGAAACCCTACTGAAATCAGTCAAGTTTACATCTCAATAAGCATGCATAAGATTGCATTGTGCAGATCACTGGAAATTCACTGAAATTATTTTAACTTCAGTCATGACCAATATGAACAGCGCAGTTAACTGATCTGTTTTTTAGGGGATGTCTTCCAACTGTACTGAGATTTCTTGATTATGTTTTGGCTACAGAGTGATCTGACTTTGAAAACTTACGTTCGATATTCACACGTAGATATTCATTAGAATGGATTGAATTGGCATTCGTTCAAAATGGAACAGTTGTATTCATATGGGTACTGTGCATATTTTCTTACAGGATTATGGAGTTACTCCAAAATATGTAACTAAGCGAAATGAAGATGCAAAAAGAGCTCAGGAAGAGTATGATGCCTATGTCAAGGAGACTCTCAGACAAAAAGCCATGAAACGGCTCACAGATGAAGAGAGAGAGAAACTTTTAGAGGTACATGGGTTGAAAAATATTGCAATTGAGATGGGTAGTTTCACTAGATGGAGCTCTAGAATAGTTTTTATATAGTTATGTTCTGACAAATACCAAGCAGTTACGGGTGTTATCAAGTCAATTTTGAAAAAGGAATGATTTGCCTTTAAACCCTTTATTGTGTGCTGTGGATTTTGCCCCATTTTAAGAATCTGTAATAGTCTACTAATAGTTTTTTTTACATAACAGCGTAAGGGAAAATATCATCGTGCAATGGAACCTCGTGCATCTTTACTTAGAACTTAATCCTACTTTAGTCAATGAAGTTTACTCATAGCTAAATCTTGGAGGATTAGTGCAGTTAGACTACAACCTGGTATGAATGTACTCAAAAGGACTGTACTGAATTTGTGTTCAGCATAACTCACTCATGTTCCTGGGAGTAGGGCTATGCAAATTTCAAAAATGTTTGAAAGACCTAATGCAAGGACAGCACGTCTCTGCTATTTATTAAAGCAGCCTTCTGAGCAAGCCTGAAAAAACGTGCAACTTTGTAAAGAAATTGATTCCATTAATGCAACTCTTTATCACCCGCACCTCTTTCAGGCGCACATGGAAGCCTGAAAAAAAGGTTGCTGTTTTAGGGTTTAGCAGAGAGGTGTTAAATATGCAGTCTTCCCTGAGAATATAGGACGGTAGCCTTCCTGCATTTTTAGATACTTTACTGCAGTGTTTCTCAAACTGGGCCACTTTAAGATGTGTGGACTTCTACTCCCAGAATTCCCCATGAGAGTAGAAGTCCACACATCTTAAACTTCTACTCCCAGAATTCCCCATGAGAGTAGAAGTCCACACATCTTAAACTTCTACTCCCAGAATTCCCCATGAGAGTAGAAGTCCACACATCTTAAACTTCTACTCCCAGAATTCCCCATGAGAGTAGAAGTCCACACATCTTAAAGTGGCCCAGTTTGAGAAACACTGCTTTACTGCATACTAATTCTTCTTTTTCTATATTCCATGTAGGGTCTCAAAACGAACTGGGAGGATGTACATAATGCATTTCAAAGCCTGTCAGTAGAAATAGATACAATACCGAAGAAGCTTCATAAAGAAAAGCTGGAAACAGAAATGAAACAATTGGAACATGACATTCAGACAATTGAGAAACACAGAGTTATTTACGTAGCAAACAAATGAGGACTACTTCTGAGAATTTTTTCTTTTTTGAGATAGTTTACTTTTGATCGAGGTACAAATTGCATATATATTTAAGTAGAAAAATACTTAAGGTTTTAAAATCTTTGTTAAAAATAATCATATTTTACAATTCATTTTCTTTTAGATTTTTTATTTTTTCAAATAAAGATATATTTTTCTCCAAAGTGTTTGATTAGCTGTACGTTATTTTTTAAAAAACCCTATCAAGGTTTCCAGTGTCTTTATGACATAATTCAAACAGATGTATAAATGCAGCAGATAGTAATGATTTACCAGACAGATAATAAAGTGATATATACACTAAAGTTCCAAGTTATTCAGTAAATGGTTTAGTTTCAAGATCATTATGGTTTGTTTTATTTAGCTTTGTATGCAGACTACTAAAATCTTTTTAATGTCTGTTTTTATTGTAAACTACAAAAACTGAAAACAATGATTAAAACAAGGAAGATTAATAATTAAAATTAAAAGTCAAAATCATCCATGGAGAGCCTGTAGAAAAGATATGTTTTAAGCACCTTTTAAAAAGCTAATACAGATGTTAGGCCCCATAGCTTTTTCCAAAGAGCTGGGGTAGCAATAGAAAAGGCTTCACTCTGAGTTCACTGTATGTGTTTGTGTGTGTGTATTTATCAGTCTATATTTCAGAAATAACACCTGGTAGTTTACAGTACAATACAATACAATACAATGCAATTACAATTACAATAAAATGCCCACCATAAACAAAATTCAAATCAATTAAATTAAAACATCCATGAGAAAGTACTAGCAAAAATGTATAACTGTATCTAAAACTGGAGCATGATTATGACAACCACAGTATCATCATCAGCCACCTAAAGCTCTCCGAAATAACTCTCTCTCCATTTGCATCCAGAAAGCAGTCAGTGATGGAACCAACCTGATTTCCATAATAAGACTGTACTGCAAATACAGTACCAGGGCCATAATGAAGAAGCAACATCTGGCCTCAGCCCCCCGACCTCACAAATGAGGAATCACCAAAGGTATATCTTGGAAAGAATGGCTTAGACAACTGAAAGCAATCCTGTAAGTCCTTTGGTTCCAAGTCATACACTTTGAATTGTGCATGGAAGCCTATTGCCAACCAATGCAGGGCCCATAATGGAGATGTACTTTGTTCTTGGTGATAAATACCAACAAATAAGTGGGGTAAAACATTCTGTACCAACTGTAGTTTCCAAGTGGTCTTCAAAGGCAGTCCTGCATGGAGTGCATTGAAGTAATCCAAGTGAATGATGATGAAATGTGTATTACTGTTGTGAGATCCTCCCATTCCACCAAAAGCCTTCCTGGCCACAGCCTCCATCTGCCCATCCAGCGGCAGCCATGACTAGTGGACTGCTCCCTCATGGGTAATATTTCTCTCTAAGAGACAACATGGGCTGAAAACTATGATGAACAAACTCCACTTTGCTTGGGTTGAATTTCAGGTTTTGTCTTCCAGATCCAAACGATATCCAAACATTGGGACATGCCTCTAACAGTGTTAGAGGTCCAGGGTGGTGATGTATAACTGAGCATCATCAGCACATTTATGATACCTCACCCTGAACTGATAGATAACCAGTGGCTTCATTGATTGATTATGTGACATCAAGTTAGGATTGACTCTTAATGATCACACAGATAGATTTTCTCCAGGATGATCTGTCCCCAACAAGGTATTTCACATCTTCACATCAACATTAAAAAGTATGGGGGAGAGTATCAATCCCTGTGGTACCCCCAAGTGAGTAGTGATTGAGCCAACCTCTTTTCTTCCATAAGTACTGATTGGAACCAGCCACTAAGATAGGAATGGAACTACTGCAAACAGTGCCCCCAACTGCATCCCTCACAGTTGATCCAGGATACCATGGTAAATATTTCTGAAGGCAGCTGAGAGGCCTAAAATAACCAGAAGGGGTGCACTCCCCTCATCCAGGCCCTGACAAATGTCCACCAGTGTGACCAATGCAGTTTCTCTCTCATGCCCAGGTCAGAACCCAAAAGATTTCCTCTACAGCACCCTGTAACTGATTCCCACCACCCTCTTGTCAATTTGCCTAGAAAATGAAGGTTGTAGACCTGGTGATAGTAGTTCAATATGGCTAGATCCAGGGGAACTTCTTGAGGAGGAAGACATTCCTTCAAGGCTGTACTTCTCACAGCAAGATGCTGACACTCTCCTGGATCCAGCTCATCATACCACCCCCAGCCCCAAACAGGAGCCATGAGCAGCCTGGGTCAAATCTGCAGGTTATAGCAGTCACACTAGAGACCCCCATATCCACTTCTTGAAAGCATGAACCCACCCACCCCCCTCCACTACAAGTTATGCAGTCAGGTTTCCTGCATTTGGAAAATCTGCAGGAGTCAGCAAACCCTTTGTGCAACAGATGAGCCTTCCCCTGGGAAAACCATCTTCATGATCACAGGATCACAACTGTAGAACAAAGCATCCTCTCAAATAGCTTGGACCTAAGCTACAACTATGAATATATAGCTAATATAATATATAACTATGAATATACTATAGTTCATAGTCAACAATTCATATGATAGCTAGATGTAACCTTCCTACAAAACAATGAAAGTAGGGGTAATAAATGGAATGTGCTGGAATGTAGCTGAAGATGCAATGATGTTCGGGTAGTGGCCTTTTTCTATTTATAGTACTATTTAGGGGACGCTACTTTTGATTCTGGTAACAATATACAGCTGTCACAATTGGTACACAGCGATAGCCATCTCCATCAATTTCTCTTGTTTCCTTTCAAAACAATTCAACAGTTTAAATAAGGTAACCACATGTCTGGATTTTTGTGGCAACATCCTATGTTCACTGCAATGATTCTCTGGTAGAGAAAAAAAGTCCCTGAAAATATCTAGGCTTTGTGGAATAGGCGCAATGGTAGCAGTGCACCCATCAGGAAAGACTGCAGCAACTCTTCCCAACATATTCTCAGGGAAAGGCTCCTGTTGACCCCTGATTGGTGAGCAAAAGGAGAGAACAGAAAGCAAGCACATGATGGCCACAAAGCACCAGAAGAAGCATTCTGGCGGCTGGGTGGTCTACTAAATAGCAGATTTTTTTTTTTATTCTGAAAGTATCACTGGTTTGTAAATAGATATTCTTTCATAGCAAATCCTGGTTTATGTGGCAGAGAATTTTGATTTTATAACAAACACTGGCTTATAAAGGTCAGACTTTCAATTTCAGAATTATAATTGCAGAATTCTGAAACACCGCTCTAGTCCCAATTTTCACTCAATATTTGGAAATACTTTTTGGTCTAGCCAATAAAACCAGCCAGCAAATCAAACGATGCTGTTATTGCAGCAAAGAATGTTTTCACGTTTCACCCCATTAAGCATCACACTGTTTTCAAGTCAACACTTGGTACGTGTGTCTTAAAGAAATATTTTTTTTATTTGGAGGTGGCTTGAACATTTGCAAGGGCAAGCTACCTTGAAACATGACAGACTTGGTGTCCTCTCTGAGACAAGCATGCTCTATTAGCAGGATCACTCAGAGATTTAGCAAAGGCTGCTCTGAGATTATACATTACTCCAGAGTACAAGGTTTATGAATTATGAGTTTTGAAATACTGCTTCAATTCCAATTAGTACTAGTTCTCATTCATTATTAGGATGATTTTTTTGGTTTAGCCTTACTGTTCCCACAGCAGCAACCCTGATTCAGTCCCAGAACCATAACTGATCTAATGAGTCATTTGCTGTGGTATTTAAATGCGCTTAGCTGACTCTTTGAGGCAAGCTTATGCTACTACCCTAGGTTATTAATGTTTTGCTGTATCTAACCCCTTAGTGCTTAATACTAGGTGGGGGAGCAACATCAATACATTTTGCACGCTAGGCATGACTTTTATAAAACAGCCCACTCTCTACACTGTTTTTGTTTTCAAAAGTTGAAATATGATAAGCCTGTCTGAACTGTGTTATACAAAGTATAAGTTCCTTTTATTAGGTCTCATTCCACTTCATTGTATGTCCCTGGGTTCCAATGCTGCAGAGAAAAATATAAAATTATCTCACTTGCCATGCTTGGCTGCATCAAACTCTATCATATCCCCAAGACATCCTTTCTAGGCCAAAAAGCTCCCGGTGCTGTATTTTCACTGTAAGGGAGCTGCTCTAGGCCTTTGATCATCACAACACCAGTCATATCCTGGTTCATGCATTGCATTAGTTCATGCTTTATCTAACCACATTTTGTTCAGTGAACTCCAGTTGGCCAGTTTCATGCAAGCTACTAAATCATAAACCAAGGTTTACAAACCACAGTGGCGAAACTCACCTAAGCTAAAACCAGATAAGCCATATTTACCAGTCACAGGTTTGAGCTCTGGCAAGTCTCAAGGTGAAGCAAAAATTAATCTGAATGATTCTGCGCAGAGGGCTTCGGCACTCACAACAGAAAACTATCAACATACAATGGATCCTGGAACATTCAACCCAGAGTTTTCACTCAGGGAACAAGTGACCAGGCTCAAATGATCATATTTTAGCTACATTATGCGAAGACCTAGCTCTCTTGAAGAATCTATAATACTGGGAAATGAGTAAGAAAAGAGAAGAGGACGACCAGCAGCAAGGTGGATGGACTCAGTTACAGCAGCTTTGCTGGAAAATGTGAAGGACTAGATTGGGAATAGATCATCTTGGAGAAAATCTATCTATGCGGTCGCTAAGAGTCCACACTGACTGATGGCATATAGTCATCCATCATTTCTTACTCTTGGAACCTGAATACCTTCTTTTATACTATTAAACTTAGAGCTTGTACCCATAGTACTTGATCTCAAACACTATAATGGAAAAGGCTACTTTTCTCTACTTTGGGTACAATGAAGCATCTATCAAAGCAAGATACAAGCAGGCATCTCTCTTTCTATTTAAAACAGATGTGTATTCTTTCATGAAGGTCATCAGTACTGCTGATTACAGAGGAAAAAATGTCATAATGAAAACCAGTTGAGCTACAGACACAAGGCAAACATTCTTATTCAATTCCCTCTCTCCAGGAAGTTGGACAAAATACGTCTGGAGAATCCAAAGAATGTCACTCCATCTATATTTACATGTAGAAGAACTGCCAGGAATTGGAACTGGCTCATTTGTCCTATTATTATAGCAAAAGAATAAAAGCGAGTAAACAAAAGTGGGACTCATCAGAGGGTCTTTTTTCCCCTTTCATCTTCTTTAAGAGAATGCTAAGATGAGTTTTACAGGGCTTAACACTCTCTCTTCTGCTTGGCATATCTTGACTCATACCATTTAAGAAAGTTGGAAGTCAGGTTTGACCAGCATTTCTCAACCGTGGCAACTTGAAGATGTGTGGACTTCAACTCCCAGAATTCCCCAGCCAGCCAGGCTGGCT